TTGATCAAAATTGAGAATTGATATTTTGTATCAAATAGAATTTTGCCGTTTCTTTGATTTTAACCGACGCTTTGTTTTGGCTTTGATCGATTAACCGCTTTTTTTCAATTCTCAGTTTCTTTGTTATTTTATTATGGTATCTTATGTCGTGGGCGATTTTAGAACGAGGTATCTTTTGGAATGGTATCTTATTGACTGGGATCTTCTCGTTTGGGATCTTAAGGCAAGGGATCTTTTGTCATGTAACCGTTTTTTGTATCTAAACTTGGATGTTTTTTCTGAGAAATTTTGAATGGTCAGACTATCGCTGGTCTGCTTTATTTCCGACGGCTCACCTTCCTAAGCATGTAATTATTTTTCACCGATTTATAGTGCTTTATCTAATATTTTTAAAGATGCAGGTATTTAATTTTTAAGGTTTCTTGTATAATTTCCTTTTTCAGTTTTTGTTCTAAAATTATTTGTGCTATATCATTTTTTTGACTTGTTTGCCTAAAATTGAGTTTTCAAAGAATCTGTTTTTTTTTTGAAAAAAAAAACATTTTTTAGCGGCTTCAGTTTCATTTTCCGGTCACTTAGTTTCACCATTATGATAGTAATTGCTTCATGACAGTTAGCCCAACGTTGAAAAAATGTGAGTTTTGGTGGTTCGGGTGACTAAAATTTTTTTCGCCTCAGCGGACGTCTGACCGAGTATTGTCTGCCTAGTTACCGCTGGGTAAATTTTAAGTTAGTGCTTATTTGACGCTGTGCAATATCATTTTTGACTTGTTTGCGTAAAATTGAGTTTTCAAAAAATCTGTTTTTCTTAAAAACATTTTTTAGCGGCTTCAATTTCATTTTCCGGTCACTTAGTTTCAGCTGACTTGGGCTTCATTATGGTCGAGGGTAATTATGCTCGACCTTTGTCGAAGTTAAAAAAACTTCTGGTATGACTAGATTCTAATAAACAGTGAAATTTACTTATGCGTAAGAGAAGGCATAATGATTTTTAAGGCACTTTGCGATCCTGCGTACGATTTCAGAAATAATGTTATGCAAATTTAGAGCTGATGGTAATTTTAATGTACTTATTATAAGATTTCTTAGAGAACATTATGCTCTTACTTTTCGTCTAAAGATTAGGCTGAATTACGAAGAAATTTCGGAAAAGTTTTCTTAACACCGAGGCAACTCTTTTGAGTTTTTCTTAGAATCCAATTCACGGCCAACAGAACTGTAATATGTTACTACATTAGACTCCCTTACTGCTTTAGTTGAAGTACTTAAACTCGAATGAAAATAATTTAACCCTACGCCTCAGCTCTTTCCGGTGACTTCATGGCTTGGTCGGAAAGAAAAGGGACTGGTATTTCGTGTTGTGAATTTAAACTGATATGTGATTTTGTAAATACTGAAGTTTTCAAAATTAGTTTCAGTTTGTTTTTCTATACTGCTCAAACCTATCGGCGTCATAGTGTTAGTGTTTCCCATCAAGATCTGTATATATTTAGCCTCAGTCGAGGTCGCGGCTCGTTTTTGCGACTATTTGAAAAATGTGGATGAACTTTATATTCGGTTGTTTTAATTTTTTCTTTGTTTTCCACGCTTAATCAGGTACCAAAAAATGTCATCGAAATTGGCCGAGTAATATACGAAATTGAAGTCCTTTTAGTCATGATTTGAATGACATTAAACATTTTTCTCAGTATCGAGAAAAACTGGTTTAAGTTTTTGATTTTAATTCAATTTTGAGCAAATAAAGCGAGCGCGCAGGCATACAACAATCTAACTGTGCTTAATTTAAACCCTGTAAAGTTGCTTTTTGCAAATAAAATTGCTTTTGAGTTTTTAGCGCCATTTTTCGAACCAAAAAATTCAAAAGTTTTGCTTTTTATTCTTGTAACTTTTCTTTAAAATTTTTGGTCCAATTCGCTTATTTTACTATGACTGCCGAATATGCCTGAAAATAGTTTAACTTAGATCCTTTTATCACACGACATAGAAAAAAAACACTTTTTTGAAAATTTTTTTTTATAGTTTTTTAAAGAATATGGTCGGAGCGTTCTATGCTACTTGCACAGTATCCTGCTATCCTTGTTTCTTTTTATCTTTGTTACTTCTTTGGACACTAAGTTAACGTTTTAATAAATCAAAGGAGTTTCGCATGATGAGTAGATCGGCTGTACTAAACAAATTTTTCTGCATGTTTCATATAATTTCACCTACCATATCCTAAAGCAGGCAACTTTCCTATAAAGTAGAAAAATGTAGCTCTTGTATTCAAAATTTTTGGCCTTTTACTCTTGGAGGTAACTAGTGTGCCTAGGATACAAAGGGCCTTGGCTCGAATCTTACACGGATCTGTTTTTTAAACGGGAATTTTTTGTTCAATTTATTTTTTCAGTCTATCAATTGTCCTATTATGTCTTGTCGGCTTATTTGCCACATCTTACAATTGTTGTTTTTAAATCAATTTTATCCATTTTGCTTGCATTGTTTTGATTTGTTCCTCGAATTTTAAATTTTGTTGTACCTTTTTTTGCTTGAAAATTCTATTCGGCCATGTTTCTATTGGCTTTCTGACCTCATTTTGGGGTCCTTTCAAGGGAAACAGAAATGTCTCATTCCCCTCCGCACTTTGTAATTTGGTTTTATTTTTACATACATAAAAAATTTTAAAAATATTTTTGAATTTAAAAAGAAATTTCGGCTTGGAGAGTGTCAGCGCAGATATTTTTCGGCTTTGTCACGCCTTGATTAATTTTGTTCTGATGCTGATTTTGCACTCTATTGTTTTGGCATTTTTTCACAACTATCCTCATTCATTTTAATAGATCTACTTGTATTGCAAGTAGTGCGAAGCCCAGCTTAGCCACTGTGTAAAATAATGTAATTATACTATGAAAATGGAAGAAATTGCGATAAGGGGAAAGTTGCTGAAGACAACCATTGCACTTTTTTAGATGGTCGATAGATAGAAAATTTTGAAGCCAAATAAACTGTGAAGTTTCGATTATTTAGGGTGCATGTTTTCTTTTCATGCAAAATCTGATGTTTTATCGCGCTCTAGTTTCAGAGCTTTTTTTCAGAGCTCGAGTGTTTTGGGAGGCTTATTTGATGAAAAGAGCATAAATGAATTTACGAAACGGAAGACCAATTAGGCTCTATTGGTCTAAGTTCTAGAAAATTTGCTTAAACTGAAGCTAGACTTGAAATTTTAAAAGTGGATTCGAAGTTTAATTACGCTAGCGATTCAAATTTCGTTATCAATTCGGAATTTACACTTTTTCAGGTCAACAACTGACTCAGCAAAGTCACTTGAATCATTTGACACTGTGGCTCTTAAAATCAATCTCAAGGGATCAATACGCACATGTGGTGTAGAGGTGATGCGCATACTTGTGAAAAACAAGGTACGTTGTGCAAATCTGGCCAGAACCTGTTTTTTTTGTAAACCTAAAATTTTCCGCTTTTGTTTGTCTGCTGATTTTCATCGATTTATTGAAATTATTTGTCAATCACGGTGTTTGACTGTCGTTGACGCATTTTTAACTGTAAATGAAAAGCTGTTGATTTTTTTCCGGCACTGAGCAAGTAATTGCAATTCAAGAAACTTTGCTGAATTTTTTTTATTTAAAAAAAATTGCATGTTTTCATTTACAATTTTGAAAGTTTTTTGGTCGTTGAATTCCTATGTTTTCCAAAGGAAACTAATTGATAACCCGGTCTCTGAAATTTTTTGAAATTTTGGTTCTTTTCGAGTAAAATAAATTAAAAAACTATATATTTATATGCCAGTACCACGGCGTGAAAAATGTGAGTATCATCATGCGTCACAAATGTTTCCTTCGTTTGATTTGAATTTGTTTAATGTGCTTTAATGAATCAAAAGGTTTAGAAAGCGGCTAGATTGCACTTTTTCATTTTTCGAATTTTCAAACTTCGAAATTAGAAAAAGAAATCCCGCTTAATCTGCGCCTGATGGGAATCGTTTTGGACTAAATTGAGTGTAACCCGATGGTTAATTCGGGTGTCCTATATTATTTTTTGTCTGTGTGTTTTTGTTGTTTTTTATTTGCGCTGGGAGAAGGTGGTTGTATTTGTTAATAGAGATTTTTTAGCAGATTAAAGAAGAAGTAAGTATATTTGCATGTTTGGTGCTAATTTCTGTCTTTTGTCATATCCTTATTGAAATCTGTTTGACAAATGGCATGAAACTTCATTTTGCCTGTTTGAATTGCGCGGATCTTAGTTTTATTCAATTTACACTGGGCGGAAGCAAAGAGTTTTTGTTCCGGACACGTCACGAACTGACGAGGGAACTGTGGTATAGAATGGATTTTTCCGCCCTTTTGTGACCAAGATAGATCAATTGTGTTATCATATTAGCGTTTTCTCAGCCGTGGGTATAATTATAAAACAGATGTCTCATTTCCAGACGAATTCCTAAGTTTTTTTTAGCTGTAATGATCTCGCTTTCTTGCTGAAATCAATCAGGTCGGAGCATTCTGTGCTACCAACACAGCAACAGACTTCACTTGTTAAGTTAAAAGAACAAAAATGGTTTTCATTTATATAGGTTTGGATGATTTTTGTTCATTTTTTTCAAGGAAATTTTCTTTTTCGCGGTTTGACTTGATTTTTTTTAAAGTTCAGTTCATTTCCTTAGTTAAACGGAAGACAAAAACCACTATTGAATACCAAAAGTGTAAAGGTCACTAAAAACGTGATCCACTTCTAGTTAGTTTTGAAAATGCATGTTAATTTTCAGATTTCCAGCGGAATATAAAAATTACTTATTGACCCAGTTTGTTTTTTTTTCGGTTCATTGAATTTTCCAACTGTCTCTTGGCTATGTTTAAAATTTATCAAAGTTCAAGGACTCTTCCAATATATCGGCTCAAACCACGCCCATTAAAAGCGACGAAGTTGAAAATCTCTGTGCTACTTGCTCAACAAGTGGCAATTCTTGCTTTTATTAGCGAGAGCCAGTACCTAGTTTAATGATTTTTTAGTACATTGTATGTTAACGTATACTTCAACCTCAGCTAATATTTGAAAATGGACAGCAAAAATTTCCCGGCCCTGAAAAATGACCGGATTTTGAAGGCTGCCAGAGGCGAACCAGTTGATCGTGTTCCAGTGTGGATTATGCGACAGGCTGGCAGGTATCTTCCAGAGTTCCGGGAGTTCAGGAAAGAACACGAATTCTTCGAAATCTGCCAGACACCGGAGTATGCTTGTGAAATAACGTTACAACCCATTAGAAGATTTGACTATGACGCTAGTATAATTTTCTCGGATATTTTAGTCATACCTCAAGCTATGGGAATGGAAGTTAAAATGGAGCCAGGAAAAGGACCGACTTTTACCTCTCCTTTGATTGACAGCAAAGACCTGGATAAACTGAACATGGATCCCATAGCTATAGCCGACTATTTGAAGTATGTATACGATGCCATTACTTTGACTCGACATAAACTGGAGGGAAAGGTTCCACTGATTGGATTTGCAGGTGCCCCGTGGACTCTGATGTCTTATATGATAGAAGGAGGCGGATCGACAACTCAGTCGAAGGCTAAAAAGTGGCTCTATACAGACGTGGAGGGATCCCATAAGCTTCTAGATGCTCTAACTGAAGGTATTGTAGAATATCTTTATCGTCAAGTCGTAGCAGGCGCTCAGCTTCTGCAAGTGTTCGAATCTCATGCTGGCGTGTTGAACGAATACTTATTTAAACAATTTTCTCTTCCATATTTGGCCAAAATAGCTAGCGGAGTTAAAGCTAAATTGGAAGCTAACAGTATAAGTAGTGTGCCCATGATCGTGTTTGCAAAAGACGGTCATTTTGCGATTCCCTTTTTGAATGATACGCCGTATGACATTGTGAGTCTAGATTGGACTCAAGATCCATTGAAGTGTAGGGAAATGTTGCCAGATAAAACTCTCCAAGGGAACTTGGATCCCTGCGCGTTGTACAGCAGCAAAGAAGACTTGGAAAAATTGGCAAAAAGTATGATTGAAAAGTTTGGGAAGACAAAATATATTTGCAATCTTGGCCATGGAATTTATCCTGATATGGATCCAGAACACGTGAAGTGGTTTATTGACTTCATTCACAGTTGTTGAAATGTTTGGCTGGTTTGATTGATAATAAATAGGATCTATTGATTCAAAATTAGTATGAAAAACTTTGTATTGAGATTGATCTGAGAAATTAAAATATTTGTAGCCACTGCTTGTTTCTTATTAGACTCAACTTTTAACTGTTGAAAACAAGCTCAGAATAATTTCAAGATACTTTTTGCCATAGAACTCCAAAAAGTATTCATCTAGCAAAGTTGAATTTTAAACGGAAACGCTTTGTGTATCATAAATGTCATATTAGGCCTGGCTAAATTGTTTCGAATGGCGACATACCGTCAATCAGCTTATTGTTTTCTTCGGGCGTAGCATCTTGGACTCAAATATCACGCCACAAACTTAATTCAACCTGTTTCAATTTCTTGTTCAACTACAATAGTTGTTGTATTCTGAATCTTCATTTTCAGTTGATTAAGATGTTATCAATGAAGAAAGCTGTTAATTCGATCTGTGAAATCACAACAAGGTGTGCAGTTACAAGCCAAACAAGACGCTTCAAAAGTGTGGCGCCTTCTGCCACGTCCCACGCTTCTGAGTCTGAACTAGTAATGGCCAAGGAAGACCAGTTTGGAGCTCATAATTACCACCCACTCCCAGTAGTTCTGTCCAGGGGCGAGGGTGTGCATGTCTGGGATGTTGAGGGACGGAAGTACCTGGATTTCTTGAGTGCATATTCTGCAGTGAATCAAGGTCACTGTCACCCGAAGATTGTGGAAGCGTTGATTAAACAGGCGCAGACCGTTACTTTGACTTCTAGAGCATTTTATAATGACGCTTTGGGAGAATATGAAGAATATATCACTAAACTACTTGGATATGACAGAGTTCTGCCGATGAATACAGGCGTGGAAGCGTGTGAAACAGCTGTAAAATTGGCGCGTCGATGGGGATACGACAAGAAAGGCATCAAACATTACAAAGCCAAGGTCATTTTTCCAGAAGAAAACTTTTGGGGCAGATCCATCGCTGCTTGCTCGACTTCAACTGATCCGACTTGTTTTGAAGGGTTCGGTCCATTCACTCCAGGGTTTGAGATCATTCCTTACAATGACATAGCAGCTGTAGAGAAAGCATGCCAGGACCCGGATGTCTGTGCATACATGATGGAACCCATCCAAGGTGAAGCAGGAGTCAGAGTTCCAGACGCTGGATACCTTGCCAAGGTCAGAGAGATTACCAAGAAATACAACGTACTGCTTATTTGTGACGAAGTTCAAACTGGACTTTGCAGAACTGGAAAAATGTTGTGCTCGGATCACGACAATGTTCGACCGGATATTTTGACCCTTGGAAAAGCTCTTTCGGGAGGTGTGTACCCGGTGTCTTCGGTTTTGTGTGACGATGAAGTGATGCTCTGTATTAAACCTGGAGAACATGGGTCGACATACGGTGGGAATCCAGTAGCTGCTAAAGTGGGCATTGCTGCGCTTGAAGTCTTACAGAAAGAAAACTTAGCCGAAAACGCCACAATTCAAGGCGAGTTTATGCGAAGTGAATTGAAGAAATTAGTGGGTGATCGTATAACTGAAGTGAGAGGCAAGGGTCTCTTGAATGCGATTGTTATCAAAGAAGAGGGAAATTGCAATGCGTGGAATGTGTGCATGAAGTTGAGAGACAATGGGATGTTGGCGAAACCTACACACGATCATATTATCAGATTGGCGCCTCCACTTATTATCAATAAAGATCAAGTGACACAAGCGGTTGAGATTGTTGAAAAGACCATCAAAGAGTTTTGAAGCGTTTATGACTGGAGAGTATATAGTTTAATGTATTCGAGATCGCGTTCCACAAATGATTCAAATAATAAGTGCAGTAAAGCGAAAATTGACATGATAGTTATAAATTATACTAGACTGCTGAGTGATCCCTGGTGAACATGGATTGTTTTCTTTGAATTCTTAATTTTCTGTTGGCATTTTTTTTTCAGGTAGCCAGCACGAAATTCTTAAATTTTTAAGCGTTTTCACCTAGACACGACAAAAGAAAAACTAAAAAAATATTTGATGTTTATATATTTACAAGAACGAAGAAATCCTGGTGATGATATCTTCATGGACAACAAGATTTTAACTCTATTTGAACTGCAGATGTATAAGCTGCTAAAATTTGAATGTAGTACTACATTCAATAATGAGCCTTCTTCAAGAAGTTACTTGAATATTATTTAACATTTGAAACTTCCGAAGGTTAACTAGGAGATCAACCATGCTTGTATTAAAACAGTCAGTTTGTAGGAAAATGATATAGCGGAAATCGTCTTCTAGAAGAAATACATAACGCGAAACAATTTATTAAGTATCAAAAAATTAAGGACTCATTCTTGAATTGAAGTGAGAACAGTAAACATACCAACAGTAATGAGAAGCTTCTTTCCCTTCAATATCTCTACCGATCTGATTTACTGTCTCCCTTGCCACATTCCGTTGTCCCGAGCACTGGCATTAACTGACTTCTTTAGAAGTGTTGATTTTGTTATGCAAAGATACTTTTGTTTTGTTACTCTTTTCAGTAAAAAGTTCGTGTTTTCAATCCTTTCGAAGTAGTTATACTCGCCACCGTTATGGCAAACGCTCCTGCAGTATTGTTTCGTCTTAGCAAGGAATGGTTGTTTTCGACAGCATAGCTGAGATGTCACGATGTTGCGATTCCGATGCAGGCATGACACACGTGGCTCGCAGAAATTGAAAGCTTGTTTTTTAAATATGACTGATCCTCGCACTGATTAATGTTTTTTGATGAAATGCGTTCGCAAAAGCTGTTGCAAATTTCACTACTTTTTGGTTTTTCATCTGCGGGAAGCTCAGGACTGCTGAAGTTACGCAAAGAGCGAACTGTTCACGATGTGGTGCTTCCGATGAAGACATGACACACACGGTTCGTAGAAACTGCAAGCATCATTTTTTGAACATGGCTGATTGTAGCAACGGTAGAGATATGTGATTCAAGTGTTCATAAAAACTGTTGCAAATTTCTTTATTTTTTGGTTTTTTTTTTATCGCTGGGAAGTTTCGGACTGCTGAAATAGTCAATTTGAACACATATCAGTCAATCAACTAACTGAAAATAAAAGTGAAAGGATTCAAATTATACACCACTAGAATCAGCGTTACTTTTCAAAAAGCTGCTCAAATTAAATTGTTCCAACTATTATCGTAGCAATTTGCAGCAAAAAAAAACAAATGCAGCATCAAGAAACTTTGACACAAATCAATGGCAGCGCTAATTGGTACCAACAGACGGAATTGTTCTTACCAGACAAGGTTAAAGGTATCAGTAGTAGAATGAAATCAGTTCCCTTCAACGTTTGCATCTTTACTTGTCCGACTGTACTGGATACTTTTGATGGCCTCGCCGACGAGTTCAACGAAACTTTTCTGTAGTTCCTATGTCCCTTTTAGCTCTCTTTTCTTGCACATTTTCACTCACATTCTCTCATTAATGAGACGACAATTTTCTTCTGACTTGAAACCCAATTTGACATTTCAACTAGACATGTGGTTCATAAAAGTCTCGGTGTTTCATCTTTTGTTTTTCTGAAAAACTTCTGTGTAGTCCAGCTTAATTTTTCTTATCTGTTTGCTTTTCAGTTTATCAATAAGCAAAGAACAGCATGGCTTGTATCCCATCTTCGAAAGGCACACTGGTTTTATCGTTTTTTCTTTTGATTCAAACATAACTCCATATCTCTCAGATATCTCTTTGTCTCGATATGCAAATGATACTTTACGTACCGTTTCCGCTTTTTCAGATCTAGATATTATGTTATTAGGAGATCTAACGTCGTTGCTTTTCCGAGTTCTTTCAGGGTTGTTTTCGTCCCAGATATTACATTGCCCCATTTGATGACCAATTCGGAAAACATGTACACCTGATTACAAGTTTGGGCTTTTTAAAACTTTTTTCCTGAAAAAGAGGGTTACTGAAAGCTGAAATGGACAATGCTCGGAAAATTCCCAATCATACATTTTTCGATTGCATGAAATATAGCGAATTAAATAGTTCTTCTGTCCCTCTGAGCCACTTTTTTGGAATCTCCGATTTATTGTGTTCAACCCCAGTACCCAATTCAAAGATTTCTATCACTTCACTGTTAGCTTCTCTTCCGAAGATAGACCGAAAAAATGTCCTCGAAAATCTTCCCTCGATCATTAGCAATGAAAATTTTTTTGCCTCCAGAAACAAATTTTTCGCAATTTCTGTTATCAGCAATCATCTTCACAGCTATATTGCATCTTTTACTAACCCAGATGCACCAAAGCCTTCTTTTTGAGTTCCCGAAAGCCAAAGACTGTAAAAGTCTCTGTTTTGGCCATATCTAATGTCAGAAATCATGTGCTTGTTTTGTTTCAGGAGAAACAAGTTAGTTTTACCATCTATGAAAACTCTAGTCAGCCATTGGCGAAATGCAGCCTTTTCAAAAGAAGCCTTTAAGCCGTTGTGGTTGATTTCCTTTCTTGGTTTCCAGATTTCAACAATGTGGCTGTTTTACAACATGTGATTTTGTTGCTTTCTGTCTGTTTCCCAGATTTGACCAGTGTTGCAGCACTTGAGCTTTTTATTGCTTTTTCAAAATTCGAAAGTTCAAATAATCCTTGTCAATCGAAAATATCGAATAGTTTATTTTTATTGAAAAATAGCTTAATTTAGACTAAAATTTTACTGACTGACTCTCATTCGATTAAAATTTTTACCAGCAGTTTTTTTATTCACTTATTGGTCCCCTCGTTTTAAGGTTAAATGCGCATAACTATTTATTCGAAAAACATCATTATTACCTTAAAAAAATTTTTGCAGTATATACCACTTATATCGGCGTTAAATTTTTCACAAACCTTGCTTTGAGATATTCATCAACAGCGTCATAGGTCAAGAACGTGACGCTCCTTTTTTTATTTGAAACTTGAATACTCAAATTATGCGATGGAAAAGATACACCACGAGAAATGACCCGAGAGTAGTTCATGAATAAATATGTCCTCTTTTTGATACAATTTTTACTAGTGAAATACCGAACCATTAATAGTTAAGTGAATTGCTTCTTCACACAAATGCTCATGATGAAATTCACTGCAGCCAACGGACTTTCTGAACCAGCTCAGAAAATGTCTGTTGGCTGCAGTAGATTTTATCATAAGCATTTTTGTGAAGAAGCAATTCGCCTAAATCTAAATTCTGTTTCTTTTTTTTTAGATTAAGTCTCGAACTTTTGTCCAAGTTGGTTGGTTTTGTTCATCGCAGAAATGTAATATTATCCCCAAAAATAAATTTATTTGTATCTTGGCGAAATGAATCCCTGCAGCTATTTAGCTGATGCTACAACCCCATCTGAAGTCTAATCGAGTCTTTTTTCGAATCCAGACATGTAGTTACTTCCAGGTATGTAGTTACCAGACATGTAGTTACTTCCAGCACACATACAGACACGCAGCGGCACACATACAGACATGCTTGGGGGCACATATACAGACATACTTGGGGGCACATATACAGACACAGGGGCACACAAACATACACACATAGGGGTACACATACAGACACACGAAGGGGCACCCATACAGACACACGTAGGGGCACCCTTACAGACACACGTTTGGTCACCCATACAGACACACGTAGGGGCACCCATACAAACACTAGTACGGCACACATACGGACACACATGGGGGCACAAATACAGACACACGTGGGGTACCCATACAGACACACGTGGGGCACATATACAGACGCACGTGGGAACACCCATATAGACACACATAGGGGCACTCATACAGACACACCTAGGGGCACACATACAGACACACATAAGGGCATCCATTCAGACACACAGAGGCACACATACAGACACACGGGCTCACAGGCAGACACACAAAGGGGCACACATACATACACACGTGGGGGCACCCATGCCTACACACGTGGAGGCACCCATACAGACACACGTGCGGGCACCCATACAGACACGTAGGGACACCCATACAGACACACAGTGGCACGAATACAGATATACATAGGGGCACACATACAGACACAAGTGGTGGCACACATACAGACACACGAGGAGGCATATATACAGATACACGTGAGGGCACACATACAGACACACGTGGGGGCACACATACAGACCTACAAAAGGGCACTTATACAGACACGGATAGGGGCACGTATTCAGACACGCATAGGGGCACACCTACAGACACACATGGGAGCACCCATACAGACACAAATAGGGGCACACATACAGACACATGTAGGGGCACCCATACAGACACACGTAGGGGCACACATACAGACACACATAGGTGCACACCTACACAAATAATGGCACACAGACAAACTAAATTACGTAGGCCAGGGCACTGGGTTCCAGATTTCAAATACAGCTGACACGAGATATCCAGAGCCGACAGACTTTCTGAGAGTACTTGATCGCACAATTAGGTTATCTGTCGTCTCCAAACACCAGTTTTCAATTTCAATAACTGCTTAGTTACGAGAAAGATAATTATAACTAAACTAAAACTTCTTGCAACTCATAGTCATGTGAAAAACGAAGAGAAAATGGTTTCAGTAGTGGTACGAAACATAATTTATCACCTTTCACAGTGCAATTACTTTTTTGGCAGTTTCATTTTATGTAACTCGCAAAAAGTCTTATTTTGAAACATTTATTTATTAATTAGGTTATAAAAATCCTATTACAATATAATGAATTAAACAACCTTTTACCACTTCAATTTACCGATAAGGATTTTTTCCTATTTTTTATATTATTTTAAAGTATATTATGAAATAAATTTCATATTTTTTCTAAAATGTTTCACTTCATTTCATAATTTGTAATAATATATGTTATCAACTTTATTTCATTATATTACTTCAAATTATGCGATAATTTTATGTCATTTATTTTTTCTATGATGATT